AGGAGCCATCTGAAGGACACTTATAAATGACCACCTCCGCTGTTCACATACCGTTAATTTTCATACTGAACCTCTAACACTCATTTCTTTCAATGTTTATACACAAATCATTGGCTATATCACAGTGCATAATGAAAAGTTATTTTTGTGGAAGAAATGTTTGAAAATCAATTGAAGCAAGAGTAAGGATTGTTAGTATTTTTAATTAATGAGTTAACCTTTTGATGGTTATTGTAATAATGTATTACTTTTTTCCTGTATTTACATTGCAATAAAATTAGTAAAATGAAACTTTTCATAAACATTGTCAATTGACTTAAAGTTCAAGTTTAAAAAATGACAATTAAGGCATGAATACACAAAGATTTTGAATCAATAATTTAATTACTGTTATCCTAATTAGAACTTGGAATCCTCTGTTTCAGAAAGCAGAAGAATACCTCAGCATTTTAATTATAGGGCTATATATAGAAATATATTTGAGCCCTCAGTTAGAACTATATTATTATTTCAACTTTCATTAATGGAAAAATTTATTTTTAATGATTTTATTGTACTGATTTCTTACTGATTTAATGATTTCTATTGTACTGATTTAATGATTTTGTGTCTTATAATCAAAAAAGTGTCTTATAATGAAAATTCTAATTGTAGTTTAATATCAAAATGGTTTCTTGAGCTTTTGAAATATCAATAGTACTGTGTCTGCAATTTCACCTAATTCTGAACTTTGTAAGTACTCCTAAATGCTTCCTAGTGAGCAAAATGTTAAATACCACCTATTTAAAGTACAAAATTATTATGCCTGGTGTGCTCAAATACAATCATTTTACATTTTTTCACTCAGAAAAAGTACACTTTTGTAATGACTACTCACTTTATTTCTGAATTTTGTCTACTCAATTCCATATGAAACAAATACAATTGAATTGATCATGTTCTCATCACAAAAATGATAATGAAATGAAATGAAATCTAGCTAATTAGCTAGATTTTTTATTTCATAATGTATATAAACTTCAAAGCATATGGACAACATATATGTTATATATATATATATATATATATATATATATATATATATAATTCAACATAAGAAGCCATTTTAAAATATTTTTATAGTGTATGCTTTAGTTTATATCTTAAATGTCCCTCAATGGCTCATGCATTAAAGGCTGTGACTTAGGACGCCCTGTTACTTTAAATGGTGACATCAGAAGTTAGATATTAGCAGAAGTGCCTTAAAGGGGATATGTAATTCTAAAACCCTCCACTTTTTCTCTTTGATTTCTAGATGCCATGAACTGAACATACCTCTCTGCCACATGTTTTTCCAAGGTGTATTGCACCACTACAGCCCCATATCAACAGAGCCAATTGAATATGGACTGAAATCTTTGATACTATCAACTGATGTAAGACTCTAATTTTTAAATACATTTTTAATGTAAATATTTTGTCACAATGATGGAAACTGGCAAACAGTGTATTTGAATAAAATACAAATGGAAGGAAGCCATTGGTCTTAAAATGAGTAATTATAACCCTGTGAATGTGTAATGAAACATTACATATTACTAAATGCATAAAGCATTATAATATATTTATTATGTAACATATGTATTACTTGATTTTATTATATGTCACATAGGAGTTAGCTAACATTATGATTATCTATCCTTTCCCAGTAATCACACATATAATAATCCTGGAAATACTGCTCCTTGAAGAGATACTTACTTCCTACAATACCAAATGACTGTCATGGAAATATATGCAAACCAAAAAATCCAAATCCTGTATGGTGAACTATGCCCTTTATTCAGCTCACACAGGTTGAAATAATATCTTCCTGCTTTCCTACAATCCAGGGCCAGCAATTAGAGAATTTCTACATACCAAAGCCCTGGGCTTGTTTCACATGGAACAATCCTTCATCCAGTGCCCCTGCCTCGTCTCATCTTCACTTTCTCAAAAAAATCACAGTAAATTTTCTTATCCATGACTTTGTCATCACTTATTCTGCTACTTTACTAAGCCTGGTACTTTCTTGTGCAGTTCTCCAGAGATTACAGTTCTCCTTTTTCTTTTGAATACTATTTATTCAATACCATTAATTTCCTTAACTACTGACCTCATCAAAGCTGAATAAATTCTCCATTTTAAATACATAAATGTTTAAGTGTGTTTCTGTATTTGATCTATGTGTCTAATAACAAGGATTTTGTGGTATAATTCAACAATTTTATTATTTCTGACTTCTGTGCTGATAAAATATTGTCTATACTGAACAAATAGTTTTACAAAATACATTAACTTATTTATATTACTTTGGCCTCCTAAAATATCAGTTAACGGTATTAAAAATAATTCAAATCCGTTTTTAAAACATAAAATTTAAAGTATTGAAATTTACTAACGCAACATGAAAAGCACTTTTTACTAAAACTGTCAGTAGACTTTTTTCTGGAATTATTTGTAAGGTTTTTATTAAAGGAATTTAAAATTAAGAAGAAAAACATATAACCTCACACTTAGTTTTCAAAAGGCCACATTTTAAACCTGCTTGAAAACTAAAATATTGCTAAATAAACAAGGTTTTATTATTTTATAGTTTTTCATTTTGAACAAGAAGTTTATTGAAGAAACAAGGCGCTTGACTTAAAGGGAAAATATTGAAGAATCTTTTTTTAAGAGTGATGTACAGCTACGTATGTAGCTGATTGTTGCAGCTCATACAGAAAAGTCATAAAATTGTCCTTGCTTTACAGTGATAAATGAGAAACTTGAAATTCTGCAGTCAAACAAGATATGCCAGAATGTTTATGCTTTTTGTCTCTTCTGCTAAAATTTTGAGGGCAAAATAACTTACTTAAAATACAGTATGCAATTATATCAAAGCACTTAAGCTTTTATTGAAGTTTCCTGGGAAGTCTTATATATTCACAAGGAAATGTTGTATCTGTTGTATTTGTTATACAAAAAGAAATGATATTTTGACATGTTAAAGAAATTATGCTGTCTGTTTTCACCCTTTATCACTTGGCTTCCCTTGATTTCTATATCAGATTTTGAGGTAGACCAGTTTAGTTCCTAGTGTTTCTTAGCAGTGTGGAGATTATATGTTGTACAGAAGTCAGGTATACCTAATGAGTATAGAGAAGGAAAAAGGAGAAATGTTTTTTCCAGACTAGAGAAGTATGGAGAATGGGCAGAATGTCACAATAATGAGCAAGGGGTTGAGTCTTCTATATTCTAAGCCACGTCCTTAGAAATGAGAAAATGAGAATAAGATAAGGGAAACCACTGAATTGGTAGATTTTACTCCATGTTGTCTTTTTGGGAAATTCTGGGACCATGAGTTCCCAAGATAATAGCTTTGCCATCACGTGAAAGAAACACATTTAGTGGCCAGATGGATCATATATCTTCAAATCCCTGAGGATCCTGAAGATGGTAAGTTTCTGGATAGAAAAGTGGAATCTCCAGTTTGTCCTGTTGCCACGGGTCATATAATAGTACTTTTCCTTGTCTTTGACCGGGCTGATAAATAATGAAACAGTGACATTTAGCTTGCATGTGTTCATAATGAGAACACTGTAGGACCTCTGACACTGTTTTGATATGAACAGATCATTTCTACATCTTTTTTTAAAATTTTATTTAAGGAGAAAAAGAAAAAAAAAGCAAAGAAAGGGTACAAGTTATACAGAATTTCAGAAAAATAATAAACAGTAGGAAATCACTAGTTAATGAATTACATATTGTCATCTTAGAAATATTTGTTCAAGTTACAAAATTAAAGCTTATATAGTGGACATTCAAACAGTGAGACCAAATAGTTCTGTTCAATGATCCAACAAAACTCAGTAATATCATTGTCTATCTTATACACTTAAATATACATGCAGTTATATCGTTTAGAGCACTTTCTTTTCCTCTCCTTTGTACAATGACTATTTACACATTTATTGCTCCCACAGTTCTTATTACTTTTTTTGGAAGAGAGTAAAACCAAATGTGACATAAAAGAAGAGAGTCAGTCAAATCAAAAGGGTGGACATAATAGATAATGTAAAAACATAATACAAGGTGATCAACAATGGTTACCATAATGCCTCCCGCTATCTCTAATAGAATTGCCTATATCATCAGTTATAATAAAATTGAACAAAATAGTAAAGAACGAAACCAACAAAACCAAAACATTGGAGACATTACAGGTCTTCAAAAGTAGATAATAGTCAACCAGAATGGGCGTCATAATGAATCCCACTATCTTCATAGTTGTTGCCTATACTTTCGAACCTCGTACTATCAAGCAAAACAGAATAGAGGAACATCAGTCAAAACAAGATGGTGAGAGCAATACAGGGCTTCAAATCAAGTTAATAGTAAATCAAAGTGGATTACTATAATATATCCTGCTATTTTTTAGTTTATTTTTCCCTTAATTAAAAGGATAAAAATAAAAAAGTAAATAATAAAATGGAGATTGAGATAAAAGAGGGCATAACAACAAAACAGCGCAGAAAAAAACATAACCATTTAAGCAAAATAGTGTTTTACCACAAGATAATCCTGACATAAATGTAGTTACCATATTGTCTCTTTCCTTGAAATCTTTGAGTATAACTTCATATACTGTAGCATCAAATATATCAAAACAATGTAAAACCATTCAAGAGAATGACAGTATTACAGGGTATTTAGAATCAACTAACAGAAAATGAACAACGGTTTCTATATAATCTCCTTGTCTATAAAGGTTTTTGTTTATACTATCACATATAATAAAATCCAATAAGATACAACATGCTAAGACCAATGGAGACAGAAGAGCAAAAGCTTGATGAGACTTCAAAACAAGATGATACTAAATCAGCATTACCTATTATGATGTTGTTTTCTCCAAAATAGCTGTTCCTATCATCCAGTCTTCTCTGCCTCATTTCTGTTGAGCTATTTTTCTGTCATTTGTTGTCAGTTTGTCTTCTTCATTTCGCTTTCTGCTCCATTCATTGTGGCCTCTCTGCCACTATTTCTGGAATCTTGGTATTTTCCTTTTTTAGAATATCCTGCAGTATTCTCTGTAAAGTTGGATTGGTGGTTGCATATTCCCCTAGTTCCTCTTTATCCTGGAAGCACCTTGTTTTTCCATCAATTTCCAGGGATAGTTGTGCAGGACATTTCAATCTTGGCTGGAGGTTATTATCTTTCAAAGCTTGAATTATTTCCCCCCACGCTCTTCGTGATTTGATGGTTTGTGCTGAGAAATCTGCTGTAATTCTGATGGGTGTACCCTTGTAAGTGATCTGTTTCTTGTCTCTGACAGCTTTTAATACTCTGTTCTTATATTGGATTTCTGGTATTTTGATTATTATATGCCTGGGTGTAGCTCTGTTTGGGTTGTAGGTGGCTGGGGTCCTGAATGCTTCATACATCTGAGTATCTTTACCTTTTGCTAAATTAGGAAAATTCTTCTGGATTATTTCTGCAAGTAGCTTTTGTAGTTCATGTCGCCATCTCTCTACATCTTTTTTCTGAAGAAGCAAGTTTAATCATTCTGATGAAGGGAACTACATCTACCAACCATTTGAAAACAGCTACATTAAACATCCTAATTACATATAATTTTTTTAGTCAAGTAATATCTAATGTGCAGTGAAATCAATCTTTTCCAATTCATCATAGTTTACAACACTCAAACACAAAAAATGGAGGACATGAAAAGCTATGAAGTCACTGAAAACAAGTGGATACTTTGAGATTTAATGGAGGTTAATTTGAAAATGATGTTTCTTGAAAACACAATAATGCAATCAGATGCAAGAAATAAGTTGGTAAAATTTCTATATAGTTTTATAAATCTAATTTTCTATGATTTTTCCAGTTAAAATTAAAAACTAGACCTTTACCCTCCTAATCCATTTTCTAGGTTTCTTTTCTTCCTTTCTAGTTTTGTATTGAGACTGCTTACTTTTAGTGTTTACTTTAATAAGTTTTATATATTCCTGAAAATGATTTACTAGATCTATGAAACCCAAGAGGTTGACAAATATTTCATTATACTAAAAATTATTGTAATAATTTTTACTCGTCGATAAATTATTACCAAGTAGACAAAATGTATTATTAGGATATCCCAGGGCTTACATAAAAAATGATAGCAATTTTATATACATAAAATTTAAATAAGCTTAATAAAATACTGTTTAAATCAAAGAACATGCTATTTGACCACAATGACTTCCAAAATAAAGTCTGACTACAGGAGCTTTGTTCATCTGTTAAGAATCATTTGTATATAAAACATATATTAATATGTTTTAAATCAAGTAAAAATATAGATATATGATTATTTGAGATGATGTGTTTATTTTATTAAAAGTTTTAGAGACTATCCTTTTTTATTAAAAAGTATATATGTGTATAATAGAGAAGAACATTTTCTAGAATCACTGGTTAAACAGCCTCAAAGTTAGTTTGCTATTTTGGTTTATTTTTAAAAATATGATCTAGGAACCATCATCCTGTGCTTATTTACAATGCACAGTACTAAATCTACAATGAGTCTTCTCAAAATAAATATGCATTTTAATAGAAGCTGCGGGTAATTTTAGATACTTTAATGAGTTGGTGAAGCAATTTGAGATTTAATCTGCCTACTTACAATTTAAAAAAATTTTTAAAAAGTTGTTAATAATTAAATGTAACTATCAAGAAAAAGTGTTCAGAATAACGTGATACTGGTGAAAGAGGAAGTGTCTTGGTGTATGTTGTGTCCCCCAGGCCTCATGAGTTTGCATCATGCATTTGTGATTGGTTCATCGTCTAGTGCTTGGATTGATGGTCTGAGTGCTCCACCCACAGAGGGGTGGAGCCAGGATGTGATGTAATGAAAGGAAGAAGGTGTGTCAGGCTCTTTTGCTGGTTTCAGCCTTGCTGTTTGCAGCCTCCATGAACTGCGGCTATGCCATGCCACCCTGCCTTGGAGCCAACTGAGTATGGACTGAAACCACCAAAAACTGTAAAAAAAAAATCTTTCCTTTCCCACTTTGTGGGATATTTTGTCTCAGCAATGAGTAAAAAGTAACCAAGACAATAAGCAAAGAGATAAATGAATGCAATAGTGAGCCCATAAATAGCAACACAGAAATATAATCAACTGTGTATTGGTAAAACACATACAAAGTAGTTAGACTTAAATAAATGACCATGAAAATACTGGACATCTGGTTGCAAAATAAATTAATGTAGATATAAACTTTATAAACTTCACAAAAAGTAACTCAAAGTGGACCATGTTCTTAAAAATAGACTTCAAAACTGTAAAACTCATGGAGGATAACCTAAAAGAAAGCCTAGGTGACTTTTTGATGATATCTCTAATAACAAAGATATTAAAAAATAGTTGAAAACACTCACTTTATTAAAACTGAAAGCTCCAGCCATGCAAAAGACAACAATAAGAAAATGAAGCCACAACCCCACAGACGGAGAGAAAATGTTTCTTCAGTAAACCTCTAATGAAAGCAATATTCCAAAATGTGCAAGCACTCCTTTATAATAACAGTAAGAAAAAAATTCTGATTGCAAAAATAGGCAAAAGATTTGAGCAAAAGTCTCAACAAACACAATGATAAATGACAACATGCATTTAAAAATGCTTATAATCACATGTTTGAAGAGCTCTAAGATTCCCATCACCTTTGGTTGTCGGTTTCTACTTCAGCCTTCCAGTGCAGACTTACACAGATGTCACGCTAGTCAGTTTCCAGGCTTTTGATCTTGGACTGGTGCTGTGCCCTTGATCCTTCTTGTCCATCATCCTGGGTTGAACAACTTCTGTATCTTCCAGTTCTTCCTCACACAGATAATCACTGTGGACTTTTCTGCTTCTCATTCTGTAACCTTACTAAAAAATTCCTCTTGAATAAGTGTTTGTATTTTCTACTTATGCTGTTCCTCTGGAGTACTCAAACAAATATGTCAACATACTAATTCCAACTCTATGACTTTGTGGAATACTGAAATCTGCAAGGACAGTAAAATGATTAATGGTTTTCAGAAATGATTAGAGCTTGAGGGAGAGGGATACTTAGCCAGCAAAGGATATTTAGGGTGATAAAATATTGAGTTCTGATGAAGTGTATATGGTCATATATTGTCTTAATCTTTAGAATATACAACTTCCAGAATGAATTCAAAAGTAAGTTGTAGATATAGTAATAATGGTTTATATACATAGTTTCATAAACATCTACAGATATAATGCTCTGGTGAGGCATATTAATAGTATAAAGATTGTATAAATATGATGAGAAAAGTTTTCAAGAATTTGTAACTTTCATTTAATTTTTGTGTTTTTCTAAGAAATAGTTTATTAAAATTGATTACAAAAATATCTTGTTAATTAAGATAAATACAAACAAGTTAATGTGTTTGTATATTTACAAATGTGCATATGTATGCACAAAGTCTTTATAAAATGATTAAATTCATCATGAGGAGGTGATACATGTAAAAGACTCAATTAGTTATTTTTTTACTATTGATTTCTCTGCTTCCCCCCTTCAATCTTTTGTTTTATAGATTCAGTCTTATCCAAATTTTCCTGTAACACATTTGGGAAGTGACTGGAAGTTCATTTAAATTTTACAGTATTAAAATAAATATTTTTAGGCTGATTCTCCATGAATTTCTCCTAACTCTAAAAATATGCTAGGCAAAGTGTGAATGCTGAAGAAAAAAAGGGCAAAGTATAAAATCTAGTGCCTTTAACGGACCTTGGATGCAATTCCTTGTTAAATGTTTTCTACTAACTTCAAACTCCCAAAAGGAGAACAAATGCCATAAGGCCATGAGTACCATAAAACAAAATGACGAACACTGTAGTCATTCTTCAGGGTTCATTTTTGAGAATGCAAAACTAGTGATTATTGTAAGAACTGGCAGCACTCTGAAAGTAAATGCAATAACCAAACTACACTCGGTGCTGTCACATACATTTAATCAGAGGACACTGCAGTCTATATACCATCGAAGAGTCCATTTATCTATTCAGTTATTCTGGATTCATTTTTGTCAAGAAATTTTTTATCATTGAAATTTTATACTTAGAATATATTTAAAAATGTAGAATTTTAAAACTTTCTAACATTTTTCTACTGATGATGTTTCATTGTGATATTTATTATTACCTTCTGGGTTTCCTACTACAAAGTACAAAATTGACCTTGTTGAATAGTTGATATTATCCTTTTATTAATGGTTATGCATTGATTGCACAATTTATGTAACTGGTCAATAATTTGCTATTCCTTTTGAAGAATACACACTATATACAAAGTAAAAAACAGCATAAACATCCCATGACTTTATAAGTTTTACTTTAGGTCCCAAAATATTCATAAATATATTTTTGTATTTTAATAGCAATATAATATTTACTTCTGTATGTTATAATGATATTTTATATTTGGAAAAATTATATTTGCTCTTTATAGCTACTGCAAATGATTAAATTATTTTATAGGTGTAAAAATTCAGGTAAATAGAGACTACTGCACCCTTGAAAATTGGTCAACTGTGTACTCAAAGAGGGTTTCAATCACATTAAATAGTCTAAATTTATTTAAGTATGATATTTTGATATTCTGTTCCTCACCATAATCAAAGACTCTAAAGTCAAAATCAACCAAATTATCAATTCAAAGCAAAACTACACTATTTCCAAGTATAAAGTCAAAATTAGTAGATAGCAGTGAAGATTTTTGTAATCGTACATTATTACATTCTAAAAATTAATGTTTTTTCTAACAAAATGTCTTGTTTCTCTAGAAAGAAAAAAAGAAAAAGAAAAAAGTGTGTGGCATTGGTTAGAGCAAAAGAGATATAACATTTCAGAGGCAGTTCAAGTAGCTCAAGATCAATAACTAGTATTCCCAAATAAGTTGCTTTATGTTAGACTTTCCCCTGCATTAGACATTGCTGACGCTCTACTTCAAACCAAGGGAAAAACAGAAATATAAAAGTAGTCTTTAACATGGGGATGATAATAAATGCATTGCTTATAGGTCAGTGAGTTGACAATATTATCCTGAAGATTAGTAAATCTATTGTATCATTCCACATTAATTACTACACAGTCATATCCATGAACTGTTCCATTAATAGAATAGATGAAGAAAAGTGAATGCAAGCAAATTATACATTCTCCATATAATTTTACTCTAGTGACTCCTGGTAAAATACACACACACACACACACACACACACACACACACACACACACACATACAAATGCTAACAATGTGAAGACAAATAAAATAGCAGGACATACTTGGCAAATGTGTGGCTTGTGTGTGTTTCTGTGTGTTGTACTGTTGGCTGCAGTTAAAAGAATGCATAAAGGAGAGAGAAATTTCCTTACAAAAATCATGTTATAATTTTGAATTTTAGATAAAAGGTGATCAAAGTAGTATAGTATATCATGTATCTTCACCATCAAAGGAAGACTACGCATTGCTCAACTTTTTAATTAAAGTTTATAAAACTGTATAATAGGCTAGTAACCAAAAATATCAAAAGGTTATAAGCTATAAGGTCATTCAAAAGAATATGGAGTTTTCTCAATCTAGAGTGTGTTTCATGCTAATCAGTAAAACATGCTATCTAGAATGACATTTAATTATAATGAAATATTCAGTAGCTATTTAAAATATATGGTAAGATTTACAGACAAAGATCAAAGAAAAGTTTCACTTTTGGCAAAAAATTTAATAATGTTTTGTTAATATCTTATTAAAAGTATAATTTGATCCTTTTTTGATTTATCACTTAAAACTTTGCATTTGAAAACATTTGCTTTGCTTTGAATTATTAAGATTTTGCTATTTGTGTTTAGTGAAGATAACTTGTCTTATTCATAAAATGAACAAAAAAATTTTGAAAATTGTGTTGTAGCTCTGCATTTAACATCTCTACAGAGGAATACAATTGAATATAAATATCCAATGAATATAATTGAAAAAAAATTCATTTTATTATTCCCTGTGGATCCCTCAAATTATTTATTAATTTTAGTGTACATAATGTAATCAAAAAATAAGGTATACATTTAAATTTGTAAAACTATCACTGTAAAAAGCACATAAACATTAATTCCCATTAAACTCTCTCCTTTCCTTTAAACATATTTCTTCCACCATTCTTGTCACTTTCTGAAGCAGTTCTTAGTTTTTAGTGAGTGTTCTGTTAAATCTGTTTCCAAGTTTCACCTACTCTGAAAAATTGGAACTATTTTATGTTTGTTTCTTTATTTTACTTTATTCAAAATTTTAGATTTTAAAGAGAATTTTAAAATATTTTCAGGATTATCTGTAAATTGGAGTTTGTGGCTTAAGGTATAAAACATAATTACTGGGTTCAGATTGACTTTTTTCTTCAAATTAGTGACTCTACTGACAGTATAAATTAACTAACTTCTCCAATATACTATTTGTCTCATGTGTAATTTTAAAAATATATAATCACAATGATAATTTGTCATCTGTTAGCTTGTAGACAAACTGGGCACATGTGAAAAATTAAAGAACTGCTAGATCTTGTTAGTAAGTGACAAATGGTCAATTTTTTTTAACAACTCAGAGATTCAATATATCGTGCAGTGGATTGAGCCCTCTGTTTGGCAAATAATTTTTCTTTCACTGCTTCCAACATTAATTGTTATATTCTTCTTTCTTTTTAGTGTCCAAACTTCCACTGTTGCTCTGATAAACTTTATTTCTAAGCTAGTGAGTAAACTGTCCATGCAATGCTTGTTCAAAGAATACAAAATAGAAAAATATAAAGGAAAATATTTCCTCTGATAATTATTTCTTGGTAGCACAAAGGCATATGATATTAGATAAGGTGCTTATACATTAAAATTTCCACATTTCTAATAAACTGTCATAATTTATATAAGAAATTATGCTCCCATTTGCCAGCTATAGCTCTTTGAACTGACTTTTCAAACTTGACAGGAGAATTCAGCAAGAAAATATTCTATCATGCATTTATGTTAGAAATGACTGGATGAAAAAATTTAATGATAGATGACAGTGAACTGTAAAACTTTTGTGTCATAAAACAAACATGAAATTACCCAAATCAATTGCTTAAATAACTTAATAACTTGAAAATTTGAAATTTATTCATAGATGGAGGACAAAGAGGAATTACAATATATCAATAAAAGGTCACTGGAAAGTCTTCATTTTAAGGATTTGCCCTCAAACTGTATTTCACCATTTCTTCTTAACTCTCAAATCTCTGTTAAAATTTACTGTTGTGACAAATTTTAATATTAAATTCATAGGTGAGCAAGCAGATATATTTCCTTTGGTAACAGGTCAAATGGCAGATGAAAAATTCAATACACTATTAAGAATAAGAAGATAGATTTCAGATAAACTCAATTAAAATAAAACTGATTAGAAATAAACACATATGGGGCCTGTGATCTTAATGATGAAAATGATTTATTTTACCAAATAATATTTGAAACTTCAAATATATATTGTTACTCCTTTTGCATTAGTAAGGCTTACATAATGATTTGAAAAAAACTTTCTGAGGAGACAGCTACTCAAAGTGATTTAATTATGATTTTTAAGTTTGATCAAAAGTTATTTTTGTCTCCACAAAGAAGAAGAGTAATAAAAGTAGCTAAAGTGAGGGCATTGTAGTTAACTTCTATATGACACAATGTTTTAAAATCAATTCTTATTGAGCTATTCTTATTATTATATCCACTTCTATTGTCGTTAATAAATATATGTCATATTTCTTGACAAAACCATGGTCCATTTAATCATTCAACATTGTTTACACACACACACATACACACACGTGCATGCACACATGCACACACGGACACAGGAGGCTCCAAACAGTGACATCGTGCAGACAACTGCGGTATAGACTTGTTTAAGGACCCCTAGCAGCCCAGCAGAGACACATGTCACCACAAAGTGTAGGAATATTTGATATAGATATGTTCCTAAAACATTAAGATTTGATGGAGAAGACATATAATTAGGTGAGAGAGGCAAAAGAGGACATTTTGTGTCTGTGGGGAAAACAAATTCAAAGAAATTTATAAGCTTCAGCAATGTATTATTATGCGGATTGAGTTTAGAGCAGAGATGAAGGATCCAACCTCTGAGGATGCTGAAGAAGGGTAAAGAAGGGAAGTAGTGAAACTTGAACTCTTGAGGAAGAGCTTGCAAACTGAAGGGGACTAATCTTAATGATCTCCTTGAACTGTGCAAACTGAATGCCCCGGAATCCTATAACAATGGCAAGCCATGAGTGACACATTTAAGGGGATGGCAGGGATTCAGATGAGAATGACCTAGATCACATCTTTTCTTTATTTTACAAGGTATGCATGTAATGTGCGAATGTGCATTTCTGTATCTATAAATCAGTATTAATTTAAACCTTCTCATTAGTGTCTTAGTTACTGTTCTTGTTGCTGAGAGAAAATACTCAGCAGCCAAATAAAGGAGGAAACATACCTTTAGCCCACAGTTAAAAGATTTGAGTCTGTAATTGGCTGGCTCCAAGGGAGGTGTCATGTCAACAGGCACTGGGGAGGAAAAACAGTTCATGGAAGGGTTCAGGTAGAAAACCAAGAAGGGACATCCATAGCTCTTTCTATCCCTTATATCTCATCCAGGACAAAATAGGATGAGTGGCACTCACACCCTTAATCCTAGTGCCCTAGCAATGCACCGTGAATCAATTCCAGCATCCCGCACTCTAGATCCAGTCACCTCTGAAAAAGCCCCACCAATGACTGCGTGAGAGCTGGGAAGGCATCTTTACACAAGCCATAATTAAATTTAAATTTGTTCATCTGATAGGTTCTTTAGTAAAGGAGAGGTGATATTATGCATTAAAAGTGGTGCTATAGTTTCAAAATGAGGAATTCTATCCCAATTAATTAACAATTTGATGCTTAGAAAATAATTTATCAGTCTTAGTATTTCATTCTTCATAGTTGTGTAAGATTTACGCTACTTGTCTAAGGTTACCAAAAATGCATAGAAAAATATAATTTAGTATAAATCTACCTTAGAAAAGTGTAAATATATTCAATGAAAACAAGATTCTTTGGTTAATACATAGTGGGACCAAAATATAGGGCAAAGGTTTAAACTGCGTAAAAACTTACACTGTCTGAATTTCATCTCCACTGAAAATGTTTTTTTTTTTTTGAATCATCACCTTCTGCCTTTGTTTTACTAAAAGAATTTTTAAATGATCTCCTTGATTTTAACAAATCACACCTGCTAAAATTCATCCTTTATGCAATGGAATAACACATTTTAAATGTTATATTTTCAAATGTGTCAAAAATAGGAACAATATTATATTGCCCTTACAAAGTATATTCAAATGCTCACCTAAAGCATAGGCCCGTCCATGAGCTGTGCTGGCCCATTTATTTGATCTTGTCCACTATTCTACTCATAATCACTTAATGCTACTCAAGTTGTACTGGTTTCCATGGTGTTCCTCATTCAGGCCAGCCCTATTAATGATTCAGGTCCCCTATACCTTCCTCTTTCAGCTAAGAACTTTAATGATATCATTGTATTTCTGTTCCTTTTCAGCAGATTTCTCAGTTTAAAATTCAGTTTATCACAGATGTCTTCCTTTATCATATCACCTAAAGCTAAGGTTAACTTTATTGTTGTTGATGCATTTCTGAGTTAAATTATTTTTTCTTGCTTTTTCTGCATGCTCTATCTCAAATTTAATACTTGGAAACAGGGTTGTTTTCTTCATTTGCTGCCTATTTGTGCCACTTAAAATAGAAGCTGACACACAGCAGATGACACAATGTATGGAATTGAAATTAGTTTGGTATGAGAGTTTCTTCAGCAATTAGAGAAAACATTGTAACTACTGTCTAGATAAAATGAAAACATAGAGATATCTAGAAATGATACCGATTGTAAAAATATCTCTTAAACTAGAAAAATAAATTATTTATAAAATTTTTACAACATGTCTATATCACTTACATGTGAAATAAGCACTACTTATTAGAAAATAAAATTTGATTAATTTTTTTTCAGAATCTAATAACTGCCAAGCACAACTGTTAATGTTGCAAAATAAATATACTGTAAAAAATTACATATGAACCACTGTGGAGAATTGGAATATAAGTAAGTAAATATTAAGTCTGAGAACAGAGGTGTGAACCTCACAGAGCAGAGGTATGGACTGAAACCATGCATCACATATGAGGACATAACTCAGAAAGAGTTAATTTTACACATTTTAATTTTTTGTGTCGTAAGCATTTGAAATCCACTGCACATTTCACAACTATAATGCATTCTAATTTAGACTATATACCTCTTAAATGTTCATTAGAGTTAAGTGCAGTACAGACCTGTAATTTCAGCCTTCTCCGAGTGTAAGCAGGATGATTTCAAGTATGATCCCAGCCTGGGCAGCTTAACGACTTACTGACACCGTGTCTAATATACCCACATGCACATGTGTGCGCGCACACACACACACACACACGCAAGTAAATGATTACAGTCACCTAAGGTTGTAAAGCTCAATTCAAAAGCCCAGAATTCAATGTCTAGTATGGAAAAAAGAAAAAGAAAGTGTTCAGCACAAACATGTTCCTACAATCATATCATACCAGCTTATTCCAAGCAAGAGTCTGTCTCTTTGGTCTTGTAATCAGATTGTAAATGACTGGCTCGCTTTTCCATGTATTGAGTTCTGCTCACTTTGCAGCAAATTGAAGTTCCTCAATCACATGTTTTGTATGTATAAATGATGGCAAATGACATAAATGAAAATGTGAGCCAGCAATGAAATATTCTGCAGATCATCAAAAATTGTGAGTCAAATGTTAGGATTCCTTTAAATGTGCATGTCAGAACAAGAGATCCAGAAAATAAATATATTATAAAGAAAAAATACAGAGGTAGAGATACTAGAAATAAAATACATATCCATAGACATACATGGCACATATAGGTGAGAGAGATGTTAAAGAACTAAATTAACAATCTTGTGGGCTGTCATGGTCTCACAACTTCAGAACTGTATAGAGTGATAGAAAGTTGGTATTAACTGTGATGAAGAGTATATTACAGAGAAAAACTGAATTAAATTAATAAGTAGTTTACCAAAGTCAACCGTAAGAATTGAAACTATTTTATAAGTTAACATTGCAAGGCCCTGATACTTTAGTGTTCATAATTCACTTTTTAAAAAAGGTCAATTGGAGCAATTCTGATGCACAGAAAACTCTCACATCTAAAATTTTATCAAAGTAAAATAGCATCTTCATAGTACAAAATATATTATTAATACATTCAGTATTATGGTTGTATTAATTTAACTTTATAATTATATCTACTAGTTTAATCATTAGACACAACTTAAATGTAATTTTACCCACCACTCTTATTACAAATTCATACTTTGTTTTTATTTTTTACCCTAACTAAAATTTATGATTTAGTCTAGCACAAGTCACACCATTCTAACCCATATTCTAATCAATCCATGTGCAATTTTCAGAAACAAGTTATAGCACAATTCATATTGTATTAGGCCATCTTAAAATAGGCTTATTATCTGAACTGTCGGGATTCAATTTAGCTGTAAGGTCATATCATGAACATGAGGCTAGTAATGATTCATTTTCTTCCATAATTTAATAATATTAACTTAGTAGCTTGAAAAATGAATCAACAAAGTCCTATGAATAGATTAACAGTGTTTAAAAATGTAAAGCAATGATAAAATATAGGCTATTTCACTGAAATTGTTAACAAAATTCACTCCACAATTTATGGAAGCAAAAGTAGTATTTTATTGTTAATTGCTATAATATGGGATTAATTAGGCACTACCAGAAATGTATTAAAACTCTAGGGTACCATCTGGTAAATTAGCACTTTGGTACATCAAAGGGTACCTAAATCATTATAGTGCTCACTTCCTTCTTATGCTAACCCTGAACTTTTCAACTATTAAGGATAAAGATTGCTCAGGGCATTTAAATTTGGAATATGAAGTAAGAGACTATGACTGACAGTGTTTGATGGATTCATGGGAGGCAAGTGGACCTTCTCTTTCCTGATAACTCAGACATGAAACATGTAAAAATCATATGGATGAGACTAGAAACCTCTTCCACATGGCCTATGCAGCAGTTTCTCTTCTTATCCTATTCTTTACCTTTAGTATTTGATAGTGTGCAATCTACTACAATCTAATAGAAGTAATAATCTAGCTAAGTGCTCATATGTTTATCATTCTTAAACAACATATTCAGTTTTATATATTGTGCAGCATTATTGTACACTTGCATAATTAGCTTTATTAATTTGATAATGTTTGCATTCATATTTGTATTGATTAAATTTTTATATTAATGTTTAATAATTAAATGCATGCTCATATGGCACATATTCAGTATATGCAATAAATATTTTTAAGTTGCACATTATTATATAGAAAACTTTCAGGAAATCTACATTCTAGTCCTGTGACCCTTTCTATACTTATAATGGTTGTTCATTTAGGGCATGTGTCTGCAAAAGTTTGTCTGTGATCTAAAGATATATCATATACCTGCATGCATAAAAACTGTATTTCTTAAGTGCATAGACATTAATAGGCATAGACAAATGTTACATATGCTATGCATAAGTGTGCATATTTATCATCATGCCTACATTTGTCTTCCATATCGAAATAATATTCTTTGGTGCCATTCTTAGTATTTTAAGAGAAGCAAAATGTTTCATAGTGGTAAGCAATTCTTTGTTTTTTCACAGATTTACAGTTTTATGTCAGTTTTGTTCTCTTTGATGTAGCTAATACAAACAATAAAATGAATATTAACTCACATGACATGATATTTACAGGCTGTGCATTTTCAGGAAAGTGAAAACCACAGCAATATAAAATATTCAAATACTTAAGTTATTTTCCCAGTATGTTTATAGCCACCTTCAGAATGGCATTATGAGTACCTGACAATGTGTCACATACTTTCACATTCATTACTAGAAAAAAAGACAATCATATATAGTGAGAAATTATATTAAATATTATTTCCAAGTTAGCTATGGTGGCATTACATTCCCACACTTAAAGAGTGCATTGCACAACATTTATGTCACCCACTCTGTTCTTCTTCCATAGCTCTGAAGGAGCTTATGAAACACAATACCTGGGGCGGGGAGTAAAATTTTTACTACCAGGAAAGAGATGAAAGAATGGCTATTAGACAATCAACTGGATGTGTCTGCCATAAATTTTATATTCTCTGGATCAGTTTACCAAATGTGATAAATGATGTTTACATGATTTGTATTTCTTCTGTGATTTTCTAGAGAATTTCTAGAATTCTAGAGAAATTCTAGAGAATTTCTGGAGAATAGTTGCAAAGAAAAAGAGGGCTGTATTATGGAATTCAATAAAAACATACAAATATTCCATTGATTTTCATCATATGTTGCAACTTTCTATCACTGTGACAAAATACCTGACAGAGACAACTCAAAGAAATAAAATTTTTATCTTATGGTTTTGGAGGTTTTAATCCATACTCATTTGGCTAATCTTTTTCTGGGTGTATGGGGAGGCAGAGCGCCATGAAAGGGCATGTATATGGAGCAAAGCCACTAACCTTATGGCGGTAAGCTGGGGGATGTATCAGGGTCCATTATATCCTCAGTGGCCTATTTCCATCAGTCCTCAAATTCTAAAGCTTCCATCACCTTTCAACAATACTTTATGGTGGGAACATGTCTTTAGAACATAAACTTTTCTGAGGCATTCTAAATCCAAACTATGTCACATGTAACACATAAATATTTGCACATTGAGGATTACAGGATGCATTGCTTAATGGCAATGAAAGAGCTAGTTAAAATTATGTCACATTAACAAGCAATTAAAAGAAATTGTGCTAAACCAAGTGGATAATTTTATCAGCCTGTAGTTATACACATGACCAGCATAGCACTTAATGCAGGGAGGCAAGCCCAAATTTTCAATGTTATTTGAAAGGTAATAAAAATGAATTTAGAATGTGTCAACTGGTAATTTGTTTCTTTTTCATTTTTGAGGAACAGCTCTTTTTATCTTATATTTTTATCAATTTGGGATAATTTTGAATTCAGGGATAAATATGAACACACATATATGATATGTAAGCTAGCGTATCTATCACCTATCTATAGGTAAATATATATGTATATGTATAAATATATATAGTATATATATAAATACATAAATATATATATATATATACAGAGATGGAGAGAGACAGAGAGAGATCACTTACTTTCCTAATTAGCAACAAGTTTTTCAAATCTGTTTAAAATAGTGGTTGAAAAATTAATAAATTCTAATCTATGCTTCTTTCCTATTGTGACTCTAAATTTTATTCAGAAGAGGATTAAATAACTGAATATCTTAAATATATTTTCATGTATTCATTTTTTTCTTGTTGCTTATTCGCTATTTGAGTTATGTTGGGAAATTGTTTCTCAAGAATCATTATTTCGGGGCTGGGGATTTAGCTCAGCGGCATAAGCGCCTGTCTTGCAAGTAGGCAGTCATGAGTTCGATCCCTGGTACAGATAAAAACGAAAAAGACAAAAAAAAAAAAAAGAAAAAAGAAAATAATCGTTTCTCACATTTTGAACTTTTTATGCATAATTCATTGATCTACTATATGTGAATAACAATAAATGATTTAACCGTCTAAGGCTGGAGAAAGCTACTTTTTTTCAAGTGGTTGCCAACTACTCAAAACCATTCATTACATGGTTCTTCCTGATTTTAAAGACAATTACAACAATCAATTGGACAAAACTTTTACTCATGAATAATCCATTGCTATAGAAATTAGCATATTGTCATAAATAATAGAAAAGTTTATAAAACAGAGCTCTAGTTTTCAAGTTGTGTTTAGGATGAAAGAAAGATGCAAATTTCTAAGAGAACAGAACAACTAGTCCATCACGTGGAAGTGGATTTGAAGATATAGTGCAAGAGTACAAAATTCAAATATCCAAGGAAATTAAAAGGACAGAATATGGTAAAAATATCCTAAAAGTAAGTGACAAGGAGCTAAACAGTCAATTTTTTTTCTAAATGAGAAAAGCACTTAAAAAGATATATTGACCAAAGTGATGTAAGAATGAGTAAAAATTTAAAAGTTCAATATTGCCAGTTACTAATACAGTTCAAATTAAATCCACAGTGAAGTAGCACTATGTATAATCGACAATTGCCACAATTAAAGAGGCTAGTAATTCCAAGTGTTTCTAGTGAGTTAGAGCTATCAGATCTGGTGGATGATTTGAATAACTGTACAATCATTCTAGAAATTATTGTGGTAATTTCTTATACACATAAAAATACACTAATGAAATGATTCAGCAATTCCTTCAATAGGTACTTACCCTAATTAAACACTATGAGTGTGGACATTAGTTAAAAATTATGAGCTCAATCATCCAAACTGGCTTTATTCACCATACTGAAAGTCAAACAAATGAAAAACTACATTCAGCATAAATAAATATACAAATGTCACTAAGTTCAAAATGAAAGCAAAATATTTACTCTGATTTTTACTTTTCAATACTGAAATGCAAATCCTAGATAATGTAAGAGGATATAAAATACAATCTAAATGTGTAATTACTAGAAGGAAGAAATATTTTTATTCATAAATGATGTTGTTGGGTAGAAATCTCGCTCAAATCAATAACTATTCAATTGTATGGATATGGTACATTGTCTGCTAAGAATTACAAAAGCTTTGCTATAAGAATGAAACTAAACCTAACATGATGTGTTATAAAGCTCAACATGTATGCAATTACAGAAAAGGTAAAACTACTGTGTAAAAGAGTAAATCAGTAATTTCGGAGCCTACTAGATTTCAAGATGCTCAATTTCATATAAGAAAAAAATGAATATTCTGAGTGTAGAAAGTTGATCCTGTCTCAATTATGGTGCATATATATATATATATATATATATATATATATAATCTCCAAATTTAAATTGATAAGCTAGATTTTAACAGTTGACTCTTTATAAAAGTAAAAACAGAGAAATACAATGCTTAAAAATTTGCTTAATGTAAACTAAAACAAAAGTTTCCAGAATCCAACCATGAGACAGTGTTTTTATGAATATAAATATAAATAAAAATCATAAAAATACTCAAATTCATCATGATATCCATTCTTTCTAATTTAAATGTTTATTATAACTCAGATTACATTTAGATGCTGAATATTTAGGTGTTGACAAAGAGATTCAGAATTATAAAGAGAGCTGGAGACATGGCTCAGCTGTAGAGTTCTTGTCTTGTAATCACAAGGCCTTGGATTCTACCTCTGGCATTGCAAAAATGAAATAAAAACAAAAACAAAATTAAAAAGAAACACAAGAATCAGAATATCTAATACTATAGCACTACTTTAAAGAACAGCAAAGTTAGAGTGGACACTATCTGACTTAATTTATGCTACGAAACTATGATAATCAAAAAGTTTGATTTGGGGGGTGGGGGAATAGAATTGGCAAATAGATCAATGGTACAAAAGGCTCAGAAAGCTCATAAAAACATTCGCAAAGGTACAGTAAACTTATCTGAGAAAGATTGTCCTCACACACTGAGATAACTGATCATCTACATTAATAATTTAAGAAAAAAGAACACAATTGGCTGGGCATGGTACACACCTGTAATCCTAGCACACAGGAGGCTGACACAGGAGGATTGTTGCAAGTTCAAGAACAGCCTGGGCTACAAAGTGAGCTCAGGGTCAACGTGAACTGCATAGCAAGCCTCTGTTTCAAAAAGATGGGAAAAAAAACCACAGATGCCTTGTACATTTCAAGTAAATACATAAAATAGAAAAATATAAAATTCTTAGATGATTACATAAGAGAAATCTACAAGATAATGTGTTAGCTGAAATTATATACAATAAAAAGCATAATTTATAAATTAAAAATTCTATGTTGTGAAATCGAATATAATTCAAAAGTTCTGCTGTGTGACAAACCATGTGAAAATATAAATACAGGTCTGAATTCCTTTGAAAAAGGTTACTTAATATCTATAGTATTTGATAAATAACAATTTAATAAGTAACAAGAATAAAGGATAACTACTAGAAAAATTACAGCAATAATTTAATATTTTTATAAATGTAAGTATGTTCATTGAAAACCTTCTATTAGCCAACTGTGGTGGCTCATGCCTATAATCCCAGCACTTGGGAGACAGAGGCAGGAAGATCGTTGTGAGTTCAAGATCATCTTGGGCTACACAGTGACCTCAAGGCCAGCCCAAACTTGTCTCAAAAAGACAAAAACAAAACAAAACTAAACCAACAAAACAAGAGGAAATCTTTCATTAGTTCATAGACTAAAGAGATCTGACTGACATGACTCCTAACCTGACAATATATAGATCAGTTAAAACTTCTAAACAGCGCACATTGGCACAGCTCATGTTCAATAATTCAAAACAGTATTTGATCCACTGAAAGTGACAATAGTATTCCTAATTTTATAATCTCATTTTTATAGAGTAATGAAATAGTATAAAACTGTATAATTAAAAGAGGACTCCTATGATTTCACAAGAGATTGTTCATATTTCTGCTTCATGCTTGGGTTCAGTGGTTCTAGGTCGGATAATCTATGCCCATTTGTCTTGGTTTTGCTTGCTGACTTCTGTACATGCCAACTGCACATGTTTAATCACTGTGGAGAGTGGATCCTCTGCAATAAATCTTCATTGGACAAGTAGATCACCCAAAATAAATCATCTGTGGGTGAAACAACTCTGCTCACACATGAGCTGCTGGACAAGGAGCTTATCTGTCATAAGCCACACAGAGATAAGTGGCTCAAGCTTGATTTACTGCCTCTAACCATAACTATGGTTTTGCCTCACGTAAAATATACCATGATTTTACAAGAAGCACAGTTTTTGCAAAATAAAAAAGTGTTACCTCCTTAATATTGCCTTTGCAAACATATTTTCTAATATATCATGGCCAAAATAAAAAAGTAAGATACTAGACTATTATGAGGTTATATTAATTTAGCAATATATAAGACAAAAAAATTTGAAATTATTAAAGAGTAAATACAAAAAATTCCATACATTAATGTAATATTAAGTATATATTTCCTTTGTAAAGTTTCAGTGATAATAAACAGACATATGGATATTACGAAGGATAGGTTAGATGCTCATTAAGTACAAAATTACACTTGTCTGCTTGTCTGTTTTTTGTATAGGGATATGAAATATAATACACACTACATTATTCTTATTTTATGAGTTTGTAGCAAGGTATATAATCAGAAAACTGTATGATAATATTCAAACAGAACTATGTTGTCAATGATTAGAACAAACAGAAAAGTTGGACTGTGATAGACAGCAAAAACTCCCCCAAAATTGAACTTCATGAATACTCTAAAAGTTCAAAAGATACATTAGATGGACAATGGAAATAGGGACTTTAAACAATAAGGATTAAAATTAGTGTTGGTGTTAGTGGACACTAAATATGAGAATCTGTAACTACACATTTGGACATGTGTGAAGTTATAAAAGAATTTAAATCACTGAAAATTATTTTTTTTATCCTAGACCAAAAAAGGGCATCACTAGCATGGAGAGAGAGAGAGAGAGAGAGAGAGAGAGAGAGAGAGAGAGAGAGAGAGAGAGAGAGAGAGAGACTCCTGTAACACTTATTGGTCTTTTCTGATCTTATTTTGTCTAAAATGTCACTATCTTAATTTGTGTTACATAGAAGTTGTTATCCTGCAAACCATACCATAAAATACATTTTGCCAAAACATTTTCTGTTAGAGTTGACAAAATATATAAATTTAATATCTGTGGAAATAAACTTGCAAACATTTTGGCAATGCTAGGAACCTATTCACCACCTTTTGACATTTATTTTTCCGTCGCATTTAATATTATATTTTAAAACTCATTTTAGGACTTTATTTTCTAATATGTTGCTCATTCATAAAAGATGTGAGGTTGATTTAAATATATTAAGTTAATAATATTTTGGTTCTAAAGTAATACAAAGCATTTGACTTTACCATCTAAGTTAGGAAGTTTGTGACTGTGTAATAAAAGAAAATATTATTTACTATTCTCTTGATATTCTTTAGTACAATAAAAAGTATGCTTTAAGGATTTATTTTTATTTGTGTGGTTTATTTTTGTTCCTGTGATTTGTCTAAAAATTATTGTTCTATACTCAGAAATGAACACAAAACTGTCTTTTTTTAAATAGTAGAAGTATAATTCAGGGTGTGTTATATAGACATTTTTTCATAACATATTGTGAACTGATAAGGGATATATAACAGGTGAAGTAAATATTCCTTCTTAAATAAATTGCTCCTGGTGTAAAAGAGTGGATTAAATAATTTTCTCAGTACCTGGATTTTAAAAGAGAATTTTTCACATCATTAAGAATGGCTTCATTTTTCTCCTAAGGTGAATATATTTCTAAAGTATATGTGTAACATTTTAGATATGAAATTCCTGAGGACAAATTGGTAAAACATAACAGCAAATGAGAAAATATTCTAATAGCAAATTCCTCTTTATTGTGTCTGAAATTGTCTATGGTTTTAGATAGATAGACTCAAGGATACATAGATACACAGATAGATAGATAGATAGATAGATAGATAGATAGATAGATAGATAGATTTTTAGGATATATATATATATATATATATATATATATATATATAACCCTAAGATACATCAATATATTTTTATATGTATACATCTACTTAACAATATGGAGGATTATATCATGATCATTTGTATTCCTGTAAAGATACAGATACCAGTGATAGGGAATATTTGGAAGATTGTATAAATTCTTCATTATCTCTCTAGTATTACATTTTCAAGAAAGTTAAATTATCATAAGCTGACTCCCTAAATTACAATTTTTAGAGTTTCTCTCTTTTAAAATTTTAATGTCTTTAGTAAATAAGAGTTAATCGCTAAATATCAAATATAATGTGCTTGCAGTGCAATTAACCTGTATATTTTTGACATAGAAAGTTACTTAGAATTATGATTGCATGCACACACCAACTTCAGACAGCTTCTTTCCCAGTAAGGGGAGAAAGTGAACAGAATCGATCCTTTCTATGCATTAATAGTTGTTCCAAATAAACCAAATTTAATTATATATATATATATATATATATATATATAGTCAATTTCTTTCTTTCTTTTTTTTTTTTTTTTTTGGCTTTTTTCTTTTTTATTGGTACCAGGGATTGAACTCATGGGTGCCTGCTTGCAAGGCAGGCTCTTATGCCACTGAGCTAAATCCCCAGGCCCCTATTATATCAATTTCTATAAATTAGTTTGATGACTGGTCTTAGGTATAGTAATTGAAGTGTGACACTATTGGTTTACTATACTATATTTTTTCCTAAAGTATTTGT